AGTGACATAATGGAGATCAATTTTCACAATAAACGAGGCAACAAACCGTAGTGAAGCTAGGCTGAAAAGATAAGAAAGGATAAAAATGTGTCTACACTTACGTTTAGCCCAATCAATAGTCACTTCTTCATCGTCGCAATCTTGATAGCGGCCTGCATAGGAAAAAATGGTGGATGAAATGAAAAAATGCCGAAAAGCAGATAAAGGCAGCAGCTGCTGAGTGAGTGAGTGACCAAAAAGTCCCAAATATAAAAAAAAGTAGTAGAAAAATGCTTACGTCGATGAGATCGATTGAACTTTCGGTTGCTTCGGTTGATTCGTTGCATTGCCCCAGGAAAGACCAGGCAGCAGATGCTTCACTCCACTGAGAGGAAACTTCANAATGGTGGATGAAATGAAAAAATGCCGAAAAGCAGATAAAGGCAGCAGCTGCTGAGTGAGTGAGTGACCGAAAAGTCCCAAATATAAAAAAAGTAGAAAAATGCTTACGTCGATGAGATCGATTGAACTTTCGGTTGCTTCGGTTGATTCGTTGCATTGCCCCAGGAAAGACCAGGCAGCAGATGCTTCACTCCACTGAGAGGAAACTTCACTTGACCGCAGACTACCAACTAGTGCACATGGAGATCACTGCTTGCTGCCTCTCTTTTGGTTGTTCTTTCTGTTGTTGTTGTTGTCGTCGATGTTGGTGTTGATGTTTGTTGTTGTTGTTCTTGGCAAACTACCACTTTGCAGAGATCTCGTTGGCGTGAATGAGTGGACATTTAGTCGACGATGAGTTGACGACATTGCCAGTGGTGGTGTACGGTGGTGTGTGTATATCAGTCACCGAGTGGCTGTTATGACTGGCTGGTCTGGAAGATGCGGGCCATCTAAGCTGTTGATGTGTGTGTTGGGATAGTAGGTGTTGGTAAGACAAAGAAGCTGAGTGATATCAACAAAATAGGAGAGAGAGAGAGCTGTTGTGTTGAGCTGGCCAGATCACGATAGAGACCGGTGGCGGTGATTATCATCAAAGGTGAGGTAATAAAGCAGATTGAGTGTTGAGTAAGTTGAGTGGGTGAGTACCGTTCAGGTAGTAAAGACACTGGCAGAAGTAGTAGCCGCTGGTAACCTTTCTCACTAAAGAGTTGACACAGTTTAGCAGCTTCTCAGGAAGCTGGAATGCATACTTTGTAGAAGCTAAAGAAGTGAACTACAGCGACGATGAAGATGAACAAGAAGNGACCGGTGGCGGTGATTATCATAAAAGGTGAGGTAATAAAGCAGATTGAGTGTTGAGTAAGTTGAGTGGGTGAGTACCGTTCAGGTAGTAAAGACACTGGCAGAAGTAGTAGCCGCTGGTAACCTTTCTCACTAAAGAGTTGACACAGTTTAGCAGCTTCTCAGGAAGCTGGAATGCATACTTTGTAGAAGCTAAAGAAGTGAACTACAGCGACGATGAAGATGAACAAGAAGAAGAAGTCCTTTTGTAGAGTTGCATTTTCAAACAGAGTGAAGCTTTAGCGACTTTTGTACAAATCTGCCTGTTATTATATTGCTTGCCGTGGCTGGCTGACTGACTGACTGGTGGTGGTGCAGGAGACAAACAAGTGGAGGACATAAATGGGGCTGCTGTCTGTCAGTCAGAAAAGCAGCAAACAAGCACCATTTGAAGTGGACTCATGCTCAAGTGTACACACGCTGCTCAATCTCCAACTGCACAGTGTGCGAGTGTGAGAGTTGACCAACACGGCAAAGTCGCCGATCTTTCTCCCTCTACTTTCTGGTAGTGGTGGTGGTACTACTACGAGTAGCTAGTAGCCGATAAACGAACGAGCCGTGTTGTTTTGAAGCAGCTGCAGCAGGAAGAGCCGTCCTTGCCTTTTTTCTTTCTGTTTTCTTTCTTTCTGATCGGTTGCTTGGAAATGTGGTGGTGGTGGTGACGGTGCTGGTGGTGGTGGTGCTGGACAAAACAGCACTAGTTGAAGTGAAGTGAGTGAGAGAGAAGGAAAATGAGGTTAAAGTGAGAAAACGTGTGCTGGTCGCTGAAGACCGCAATGATCTCGGAGAGAGAGTTTGTCTCGAGGACTGATGAGGCTGAAGTGTTCAGCAGCGACGTTGCTGGAACTGCAGCACTGGTTGCGCCAGAGCGAAAGGACACTGTTGAGGCGGCGGAGGAGATGATGCCGATGATGGTGATGGCGGTGGTGATGAGGAAGATAAAAGACCAGTCAGTCAGCCACACAGCTCGCGTGTGTACGATACGCTGGATGCGGCTACTACTAAGGGGGAGTGTACCAGCCTGACTGTCTGCGAGTGTGTTCTGTTCTGTTCTCTTGTTGTAGTACTAACCACCGGCGCTGGTGGACACGACAGTCAGAAGGAGAGTGAGAGAGTGAGAGAGAGTGAGAGAGAGAGTGAGAGGATACAACAATCCTCCAGTCGTGTTGTTGTCACCCAAAAGCGAAGCACATTTTGGCGCGGTAGTTGCTCTCGACGCCAACAGATGGAGGCTGCTTAGCTTTAGAGTGAAAAAACAAAAAATTGAATATCAGCTGGTAGAAGCATCAGAGTTTCGATTTCTGCTCGATCTGTTCTAGCATTTGCCTCTTCTTGTAGATGAATAAGCCTGATCTTTCATTTCCGGCCAGCATTTAAGAAAGTGATCTGAAAAGCTTGTCGTCATCAAGATTTGATTCATTCACAGCCTGAACCTTTTACGCGTTTTCAGTGTCTTTCCAAAGCAGTATCTGGCCAAACACGGCATCCTCGCTCCTCAACCACCAAGAATAGAGACCGCCTTTTGAGGCGGACTATAGAAAGTGGCTGCGACCCGATGCGGCGCACTCGCGCCGTATTCCGCCAGTGTACTACTCTAAAAGAGAGCGAGTTCCAAATGGAACCGAGAAATTAAGACATTCACACGGTGACCAGGCGACTCGACGGACAGCTCCACAAAAGCCCTTTCTATCTCTCCCCGGTTAGGCTTTCTGCTACTTTGAATGATTGTGCTTTTCAGACAACAGAAAACTGACTGGACGGCAACATCGAAATCGATTGCTGGAAGATCTGGGCAATCTGCCTTCTATCTGCTGAGCAATTATGCAAATCGATACGAAGTAAACANGGCCCGATGCGGCGCACTCGCGCCGTATTCCGCCAGTGTACTACTCTAAAAGAGAGCGAGTTCTAAATGGAACCGAGAAATTAAGACATTTACACGGTGACCAGGCGACTCGACGGACAGCTCCACAAAAGCCCTTTCTATCTCTCCCCGGTTAGGCTTTCTGCTACTTTGAATGGTTGTGCTTTTCAGAAAACAGAAAACTGGCTGGACGGCAACATCGAAATCGATTGCTGGAAGATCTGGGCCATCTGCCTTCTATCTGCTGAGCAATTATGCAAATCGATACGAAGTAAACACATTGAGCACCAAAGAGTATCATCTTCAGCACCGTCAACAGCAACAACAACAACTGCCCATCAATCAGTGACAATCAGCAGACCTGATCAAGTCGGTGGCTCCTGCTGTCAGAATTCGCTAATTAGTCCAAATCAGTGCCAGTCTGTGCTCTTGAATAGATCTGAAGCGTCAATGTTCACCACTAGATCATCATCATCACCACCAGCTGAGCATGTCGAGCAGGAAAAGTGATCACCACAGCCGTTCTTCTTTCTCCTCTGAACAGCAGCAGCAACAACAGAAACAACAACAGCTTGTCTCCCTTCGATTATCGTCACGCAGCAGAACAAGTGAGTAGCATTTCTGAAAACGTTCTCGGGTTTCCTAGTTTCACTCCATCCGAACTGGCTTCTGGCCTGGCCTGATGATGGTGACCATTGCTCTTCCTCGTAGCAAACCACTTTTGGTGGTGGCAGCAAAGCAGCGTATGTTCGATGTTCTTCTGTTTCGAAATTGTGGGATAGTACAGCACAACGAAGCAATGGTGGTGGTGCTGTTACCACACCGCCGGAGCGCGATCTAACTCGATAGTGCCCCACTTGGCAGTATCAGGCATTCTGTGGAGATTGTTTCCTCCCTATCGGCAGCCGGCCATCCCTACGTATTTCCTTCCTCTAGCAGCAGCAGTTAACAAGTGTGCAACTTTGCCTTCTCTCCTTCGTATGTAGTGCACTTTAGGTTGACATTTGTGTTCACTGTTCAGCTTCAGCAAAGTACTGCCGCTCACTGTTTTTTCTTTTTTTCTGTTTCTAACTACCAGCAACACTTTTTTCCTTTCTTTCTCTTTTTCCCTCTCTCTTTCTACAACACAGATGACATCGACGCTGTAAGGACGACGACTAACTGTCGACTGTCGCTGGGCGCCCAAGCTGCCGCTGTTGCCACAACTAAATCAGCCATCGCTTCTTCTTCAAGGACAAAGGCAAATCAACGCAGGGCAACCACTGCGGCGACATCATCATCTTTACAAGACAGAGTTCAACTGACACCTTCACTACTACTACCACCTCCTCCTCCTCAAGTCTGCCTATCTGCAGCCGAACAACAGCAGAAGGAAAAGGCAGCCGTCGTGAAGGCAGACCTGGACGTAAGGACCACAACGGCGGGCAAGGCAAAGGACAATCATCAGAAGCAACAACAGCAGCCAATCATTACGAACAGCCCAAAGCTAGCTACAGCAAAGAAGTGCCACCACCACCACCACCACCACTACTCTAATTCAGAGTTGACTACGATGGACGCCGATACCACCACTGGCAGTACACATCAACTTGGCGTGCACTCTCGCAAGTCACCTCACTCTTCTTTAGAGAACAACAAGCTAGGCCTTAGCACCGCTGACCACCACCTCCATCACCACCAGACAGTATCAGCAGTGACAATCATCAAGGCCGAGTCGCCCTCTTCGACGACCACCGAGCGCAGCTCACTCTCTCCCGCTCTTCAGCAGCAGCAACAGCAGCAACAATTGCTGATGGCGACTTCTAACAAATCGCCTACTAGTGGTATAGTGAGCACCACCACAGGACTTCTTTTTCGAAGCAGTTTGGCAGCCATGGGAGCCCCAGCGTCTAGTTCATCTCAGGACAGCGTTTCACCGGGTCTGGACAGCAGCGATTATCGTCTCTTTGGCGACGCGGGCAGCTGCCGCTCACCAAGGTCGACTGGCAGCAGCAGCACCAGCAGCTCATCTCAAGCCACCACGACCAACAATGGAGCAACTGAGAACGGCCCAAGTGGCAGCAACGGCAGTCACAAGCGCTACTTCACCAACAGTCGCGAGCGATGGAGGTAAGCTATCACAGTATTTGTTTCACTCCCGTATCACTCATTGAATCACCATCAGTAATTTGAAATGCAGGCAGCAGAACGTCAATGGCGCCTTCAATGAGCTTCGACGCCTCGTGCCGACGTATCCACCGGATAAGAAGCTGAGCAAGAACGAGATTCTCCGCCTGGCGATCAAGTACATCCGCCTGCTGTCCAATGTACTCGAGTTCCAGAAAAGGCAGGATGATGATGAGGAAGAGGAGGAGGGGGAAGAGGAGAGCGGTGGGGAGGGCGACGATGTGAAGCCAAACAAAGATGTCTGCCAGAAGGCGACAGAGTCTGCACTGGAGTCCTGTCTAATTAGCCCGAATTCGATGATGTCAGTGTTCCAGTCGCTCACTGGTGGCTCAGGTGGTGGTGACCTCCCTTCTGACTCCTACCTCCATCGTAGCACTTCTAAAGGCGAAAGCCCTTTCAGCCTACCTTACCACAACCAAACTACGCATCACTCTCAACGCGCAGCATCGAAGCGGCCGCTCAGCAATGGCATTGCATCCTCCTCACCAAGTGCACCTTCTTCACTTAGCCTCTCCTACGGATTGCACTCATCATCAATGACCACTACCACTACAACCGCCTATGGGTGTCTGCCATTTCCCGTACACAACTCGCTCTCACCGCTGAAGCTGGAAATACCCAACACTACTACCACCACAAATGGCAACTGCAGGCCTCCGGCAAAGAAGGCAAAGACACTGCTGACCTGTTTGGGTAAAAGTGACCAGGTCATCTTTCACAGTCGTCACAGCTTTGCAGGTGCTCGGACAAATCTGAGAAATGGAAATGGCTTAGAGAGGCAGAGGAACAGTCTGGAAAGTCATAACAGCAGCAGCAGCAGTAACAGCAGTCGAGCGAGCAGAGGCTCCAGCTTCCACTTCAGAGGACCGGAGACTTCTCCGGAAGTTCTGCGCTCTTCCTCCTCCACCGACTCTTCCTCCTTCATCTTTACCGACTCTGAGCAGGAGAGTGACCTATGATTGTGAAAGATGTGTGTCGGACAATCTATGTGTTTGTATGCGTGCAAAGAAAGCCTATAAAACGCCGACGCCCGACGACGACGAACTACTACCGACTATATACATGTAAAATTATTTTTATTGCCCTCGGTGCACCAGCCGCTCTCCTCTGGCGAGAGAAGGAAGGAACGCATCGCCGCCACTTGATGGAATAATAAAATGGCTTTGCAAACCTAAACGATTTGCGCTTTCTGACTTTCTTCACACTTGCACGTTCCTCTTCTGCTATCTCCTGTCCAGTGCTCCCAACAAATAAAGGAAAATCAGTGCTAATGGCTCCCAGTGGTCAGCAGCAACAGCAGCAGCTCACNTGCACGTCCCTCTTCTGCTATCTCCTGTCCAGTGCTCCCAACAAATAAAGGAAAATCAGTGCTAATGGCTCCCAGTGGTCAGCAGCAACAGCAGCAGCTCACTTCTCCAGA